AGTCGGTCCGAGGGGGGGTGTCAGGATTCCATCCCGTTTAGGTTTAGCGTCCCGACTTAGTCAGCCTATATATAGTTGGCCCCTGAGCCATCCTAATTGGACACTTGGCGCTTCCCGATTCTCTCACCTTCTCAGTCATGTGCATGTAATCATGTGACACCACCTGATAACTCTCCTGTTCTTGTAGCATAAAATGGAGTCGATGCAGACAGAGACTTGTCTCTTCTTCAATCTTTGATGAAATGATCAAGCCAATAATAAGAGGATAAACTCTTGCTAGCAACTTCCCTTCTCCACAGTGTCTTGCGATGTCAAATCCAAGTGGTCGAGAATTTCGACGTGGTGGAGATCTCTGGTGTATCCACCCGCACAAACTTCAGCCTTCAGGGGCAAATGCTCTTGTCTAACCGTACGGAGTAGTCTAGTGTCTACCTAAAATTAGAGTCTACCTCATGGATCATGGATCATGCATGATCACAGTCTCCCGTCTCTAACGCCGGAAGACTATGTTATCGTCATAGCAGAATGCGGCCTTGGATCTGCCCTTTCCTTTTCATCTTGTCGTGTGAAGGCGCTTTTGTACGGCGCTTTCCATGTGAGACATCAGGATTGAACCGTTCGAAGGCCGTCAATTTCCACATTGACAGTCTGGAGGGTCGCCTTTATCAGTCTCAAGATGCAACGACATTGTCATTGACACTGCTGGGTATCTACAATGCATCACAGCTTACCTGTACCAACGTCCAATTGGCAGAAGAGAATGACTTGCGCTTCCGAGTGCTCGGCTACCCAGTTGGCCGTCTAGATCGGATACAAAATCTGTGTTATTCTCCACCGGTTTTCTGGAGGCTGTAAGTCTAAGGTTCTGAAATTTTCCAATCTCTGCTGACATGCCTTCAGGCCGGAGTCTCAACATGTCTCCAAATGGGAGTTGACTTACTCTCTGGACTATGCTCATCGACTTCATACACTTGCCGGGGAATTTGAATTTAGTCTACGAAATGGCGCTGGGATTGACTGTGCGGCTGTTCGAATCACTCCCGACATTGGGACTGCTGCCTCGGCAGCCTTTACCTTTCTTCCAGCCGCCATCATCTTCCTAGTTGGAATCGCTTCGTGGTTGAGGTACAACGAGCAGAGAAGACGCTCAGTTCCTGAGCATGGAACCACATTCGCCCCTCAAGATTCAATAAGAAAGGTTGTGATCGATGTGGCTGACTATGTGCGGCACCTCCAGTTCATCTTCCTGGCTGGCTGCCTCACGATGGAATATCCCGGCTTCTACCAGCCTATTGTCAGCCAACTGGCATGGTCATCGCTGTTATATTGGAGCGGACCCGTCGACCACGGCTTTACGTATCCCGGGATAGAAGACGGGATTTATACGACCAACGGTACTTATGGACTGGAGTACATGGCGCAGAATCTCGGATTTCCAACCATGTTGGATATCATGTTCGACGCTCTGATAAATCTGTGCATTCTCGTATCCGTGATCGTGACCATAATGCTGGTGGTATGGCTGATCAAGTGTGGATCGCGGCGTGGCGTAACATTCGATTCTGTCCCTGTGCAAATCGCAGAAGCAAGCCGTAGCATTGTTGGCGTCACGCTTCTGTTCTTCAGCCTTCCCCTCTTGGCGTATCTGGCGTATCAACTTATGCTCGTTGGATACCTTCCCAGCTACCGCATTTGTCTAGTGGTTCTGATGATTGGGGTCCTCATTGGCTCAAATTGCTTCATCGCTCGTTATCAGACGAAACAGAAGCCGAGGAGATCCCACGACTCTTCCCAGGCTTTCCCTCGGTTTCAGACTTCAATAGAGCATTTCGCTCACTATCTTCTTTACGGCCTTCCACTGATCCAAGGTCTAGCCATCGGCGGGCTGCAGCTCTGGGGCTGGGCACAGCTGTTTCTGCTCGGCGGATGCGAGGCGATCGTTCTGGCCCATCTCATTCTTCAGCATCGGAGAAGAATTATCTTTTTTCAAAGTGCCTGGTGTGCTGTTGTCCGCTTGTTGACGCTCATCTTGAGTATTGCCTTTGTGTGCCCGTCTAGCGAGCCAACAAGGCAATGGATAGGCTATTTCATCTTGGTTCTCCATGGTGTGGTAGTCATTTTCGGCTTTTTGTTCATTCCGCTTTGGCATATAGCACGGCTTGCCATTCAAGGACCCGGCAGTAGGATTGCCCACAATCAATGGGCGTATTCAAGTACAGCTCCGGTAAGTCTTGAATCCGCTTTCTATTTTCAGCTAGCTTATTCGCTTTCAGCATTTGAATCTAGGCGAGCTCTCAAGCCCAAGCGACAAACGCGGGAAACTAGACGGGAAAAATCTAGAGGCCAACCCCTTTGACAGCGTCTCTGATCGCTATCATCCAAGTTCCTCCCGCACAGCCTACAGAGGCTTTGAAAACAGTCTTTACATCCCGAACTCTCCTACTTTGCCAGAAGCAACAGCGCCATATACACCAGACACTTCGACATTCTACAGACCGCCACGATCTCTCCATGGCCGAGTCGCTTCCTATGAGTATGAGAATCTCAACTCTGATTCATTCCCTTCGGCCATCGAGTCAATCGCCGAGTCGCCGCAGACAGATTCCAACTCGTCGCAACATTCAGGCGACGGCTTCGACGAGCTGTTACAGTTGCCGAGCAAGTCGGATGTAGATTATTCGGTCCGTGAGTCGGATATGTATTATGGTCGGCGTCGTGGCGATTCAAGGCCGTCACAAGAGCCATTAACTGAAAGCACGGAGGGCCGGCCGAGTCGACAGATATTCTCTGATTGGAAACGCAGGGCTGCGGAGCGGTTCAAATATAAGAAGACGACGGAGAAGGGTTTTCAAGTAACGAGGCCACCGCGGCCTATGTAAATTGGTTCTTGACTGCAGCACCCGCTATGAGGTGGAATAGGATCACTCTTCCAGTTAAACAAATCCCCGTCTATTCGACTTTTTCCTTATTCCTTAACAGCGTCAAGGACAAGCACCTAGTCGGAATGGTTCGCTGAACTCGGTGAACTGAACTACTGACAGTGCTAGATGCCGCCTGTCATATTGATTGGACTCTATACGCCAGTCATAGAATCATACCAGCTAGCCTTCACCTTCATCCCTCGAAGTCTGTCTATATCTATTGAAAATGGCTGGTTAGTGGGTGTATAAGCCATGATCCAGCCACCGTTGGCATCTCTGGTCGCCGTGACACATTGGTCATCATGCCTGCCCTGAGATTAGATGTCATCGCTCAAACTCACCCAGGAAAGAAACGCACCAGAATCACTTATCAGAATGTCTTGGGCAGGGAGCCTCGTGTAGTACAGCCTCGAACCACGCGTTGGTCGGGTGGATGCTCATCAGCGGCTGCGACTGATTCCCCGTGGATGATGATTCGCCGTTCACGATGCCGGAGGCTACCTACCTTGCCGTAGACGGGTGACCAGCCGGTGTAACTGTAGGGGGCGTGCGTGCCCCTCGCGACACAGTCTGCCTTTACGGCGGACTTGTTGGTCCAGAAGGGGTTGGTGTCTGCCACTAGGATCCTACGAGATACGGGTATCGGACCCGATGAAGCTGCCGAACAGGTAGACGGTTGTTTCTCGACGGAGCCTCGATCTGCTGGTTGCTGCCAGTACAGGCGTCATTTTCGGATGTGTTGTACTACAGCTATCGTGTACTAAGGCACCATGGCAATCCGGATCCCTTGCGCCATGAATGATGGAATCGACGTGCTCTCAGTACGCGGATTCGGCTTTGTGACATCACCGTCAAAGAATGTCAAATCACCATTTCTGTTTGGACTGTCGATGCCTGACTGAGTGAACCAGACGGCCAAGACAATGTTGAACCCTTTTGATGCTCGGTCGCTGAGGTGGAGCTCGGACTCGGTGTCATTGAGTCGGAGGGATAGAAGCCAGGCTGTCTTCTGCCAACAGAATGCTTTGTCGATTGCCTGAAGGAAATGTCCGTCCGGAGAGGGTGTGATAGCATATTCTTTTCTACTATCCGGGGATTGAGGCTTTCCTTCCAGATACCATAGTGAAGCGGGATTTCTTGACTCTATGGTCTGAAGGATTTAGCTCAAATATAATAAGCATTTCTGAAGATCCAATACCCTCTATCTGAGGAGAATGCCGTCCCTTGACTTAGCATACTAGCCAGACAATGCTGCTCAATGAGGCGCGTGAAATAGGATCCATCGTGATCTAATTGTGCATCAGTCCTCAGTCAATCCGTCATAGGAATTTCAACAGTTTGTTCACCAGCTACATCTGCCTTTAAAACAACCCCTTATCTTCCTTCATCCACAGTCTTGTTGACTATTGACATAATCCCCGCCCATCCGGATAGCATCCGGGGCGGATCCGGTTCCGCAGTCTACATAAGCCAACCGTAACCTCGGTCTTTCTCTCCTCATCGGATCATCTCCTCCACAAACATCGCATCAAAAATCCTCACAAAATGTCCAACGGGACACCTTACTTTCTGCCCGCCGAAAAGGCCCAGGGACTGGCCAACTACCCCCACGCCCGCTTCGCGCCCACAATCGCGCACCGCACCCTCTACGTCTCGGGCACCTCATCACGGCGCGGCGACGGCACCTGGGACGGCGTGACCGAACACGCAGACGGCACCTGGACGCTCGACATCCGCGCTCAAACAGCCGCCGTACTCCGCAATATCGAGAGTATCATCCACGGCGCGACGGACGGCCGCGGCGGGCTGCAGAACATCGTCGACGCGACGGTATTTCTGATCGATCTGCCGCAGAACTACAGCGGAATGAACGAGGAGTGGAACAAGATCTGGCCGGATCGGGCGAGTGCACCAGCCAGAACAACGATTGGAGTCAAGGAGCTGCCGAATCCGAGGTTGTTGGTGGAGATCAAATGCACAGCAGTGGTGGCGCTGGAACTATGAGAGCATGTTCATGGACAATGTCTCTAGAGCTAGACTAGACTTGACTAGACTAGACGGAAGGAATATGCAGCGTCCGCACGTTGGTGAAGACATCCCGGCTGTAATCGCCCCCTTCCCGCCCTGTACCAGACGCCTTCATACCCCCGAATGGCGTGCCCAGTTCGCGCACTAGCCAGCAATTCACCCACACCATTCCTGCGTCAAGTCGCTCGCCGACTCGTCGCATGCGGGCTCCGTCCCGCGTCAGAAGGATACTCGCTAGTCCATACTGGCTGTCATTGGCCCGCGAGATTGCCTCTTCCTCACTCTCGAACGAGCTGACCGTCACAACGGGCCCAAATATCTCATCCTTCATGATCGGGCTCCCGTCCGGAACAGTAAGAACGGCTGGTTCAATCCAGTAGCCTCCGTCGGGTGTCTCCGGGGGCACCGAGCCGAGCTGGAAGCTCTCCGGGTATTGGGTGGCTAGGGAAAGATACGAGCGGATCTTGCGGTAATGGGCGAGGGAGACGACGGCGCCGACTGTCTCGCCGAGAACGTAGTGCTCCTGGACATAGACGACGAAGCGAGAGAGGAAGGCGTCGTAGATGGATTTTTGGACGTAGATTCTTGAGCCACACAGGCAGATCTATGTCGTTAGTTTCATAGCAGGTATTGGTATTTGGCTAGGAGGCGTACCTCTCCCTGATTCTCGAATGCTGCCCTTGCGGCCGTCGCAACAGCGGCATCAAGGTCGACGTCCTCAAAGACCAATGTAGGGTTCTTTCCGCCTAGTTCAAGAGAGATATGTTTACCTATGTCCTCGACGGTATCCCGACGGATCTGGATACCTGTCGCCGTACCACCGGTGAACGAAACACCCTTGACGCGGGGATGCTTGACCAAAGCCGAGCCGGTGGGATTACCCGCCCCATAGACAAGATTCAGAACACCGGGGGGAAGTTCAGCATCTTGGATGACCTTTCCCAGTACTATCCACTTAGCAATAATAATAAAAATTTGACAGCAAGAACTTACAATACGCGGATAGGCTGGTGACTTCGCTCGGTTTCGCGACGGCCGTACATCCAAACGCCAGACACGGTGCGATCTTCCAGGTCAACAGGTACAGAGGCATATTCCACGGCGAGATGAGCGCAAACACGCCAGTTGGGGAGCGATGCTCGTACGTAAGCACATTATCGTCCGTCCAGCGCGCGGCGGTATTTTGTTGTAGAATGTATGTCGCAAAGTACCTGGTATCAGCTTAGCTTCTTTGTCCATACTGTTCCATGCAGGATATACCTAAAATTAGAAATTGCGCGGTCAATCTCCACCCTTGCCCGCGCCAGTGTCTTCCCCTGGTCGATACTCTCCCATACAGCGAAGAGTTCGCGGCGTTCTTCGATCAGTGTCGCGATGCGATTCAGGTACGCAGCGCGCTTTGACGGGGGAGTCTGCGACCATGATGCGAAGGCGGTTTCCGCGGCTTGGACGGCATAGTCAATGTCCTGGGCTGAGCTATTTGGAACGCGAGCGAATATTTGCCCGGTTTTCGGATTAAAGGAGTCTACCCATTCGTTGCTGGTGGAGGTTGTTTGAGCGCCATTGATGAGGTTTTGCAGTTGGAAGGGTTCGAAGGCGGATTGTTGGAGGAGAGACTCAGCGGCTTCAATCGAAGCATAATCCCATGGTTGAATCATTGCGCTATTCTGTCTCAAACGAGATGTAGTAGATTATTGTACAGATATTCCTCAGCGATCAAATACTATGCCGGAAGTGTATCCGGTACAGTGGGGCTTATCAACATCGGATGTTATCTGATTGGTTGCGCCAACAGATATGGTCCGTACCCCGCATTTACAGTGGGACCGGGAGCGGATACGGAGATTGATCCGTGTACGACATCATGTTCATTGGACTCTGGAAGAAACTGTGTAAGAGCTTCACTTTGGATCTGCAATACAACCACATTTCCCGCATCTTCGACACTCCTCATCCTGCTGCCACCTCTCAATGACTGGCTTCAGCTGCGTCCCAAGATCAGAGCAGTGAAAGACCTCCTCGCGGATGATCGTGGGCGAAGAATGATTTCCCTTGGTACAGTACCATCGCATTCGATCGCGAGATTCCGCCGGTCGTTGTCGCTCCATGACCAAACCGATGGTATCTTTGTATCTGACGGGGTTGTGGGGTGTGTTTCCTACTTGTGTCAGGATGGTCGACCGGAACTCGGAAGAGACGTACCAGGAAGAAGGAACATCTCGCCCTCTTTGATAGGGATGTCGCGAAATGTGTCGTTCTCTATAATCCGAAGAAGCATGTCGCCCTTGACTTGGTAGAACCATTCCTGCTCATTAGTCAAGCTCAGCTGATTTTGTTGGAACATACTTCGGTTTCATTCACTGGAGCTGTCAGCCACAATGCTTTTCTATCTAGAAGGGTCGTACCATGATAGTCATTCCGCTCGTTGGGTCCTCCGACTGCCATCAGGATAAAGTCGTTCCCCTGATAAAGACAGTAGTTGTTAACTGGGGGCCGTAATTTGTCTTCATTTTCGGCCAGCCAGGTGGCCCAGGACAGAGGATTGAGGCTCATCATGTTGATTCTTAATTGCTGATTGTCATACACGCCTGATATGTCTAGGTATTTATCACTAAATCGGATGCTATCCGGATGTGATCCGTGGACGCCCCGGATGTAACACGGATGGCAGATAACCTGGGGTAGATAACACTCATTTCCTTCTCTAATTTCCATCTCATCGCATCAAAGATACTCATCATAATCATAATCAAGACTGCCAGAAGAATCACCAGAATGGGCAGCTGTTGCACAAACCACCCCCTCCTCCGCATCGATATGCACACCCATATCATGCCCCCATCTTTCCCCGATCTCTCCTCATATCCCTCCAACACCCCTCCACCATCATCCTCAGAATCACCATGTCTCACCCTGCGCCCAAACCCCACCAACCCAGACGAGGTAGACATGTACGTGGGCGACCGCTTCTTCCGCACCGTCGAGAAAAACTGCTACGACACCGCAACAAGACTCGCAGAGATGGACGCCGCAGGCACAGACGTGCAGGTCCTCAGCACGATCCCCATCCTCTTCTTCTACGACCAGCCATCCGCCCCCGTGACCGTTCTGGCTAGGCACCTAAACGACCACATCGCCTCCGTCTGCCGACAGCATCCAACCCGGTTCCTAGGTCTCGCCACCGTACCACTCCAAGACGTCCCAGCCGCCGTCGCGGAGCTCCACCGCGCAAAGCACGAGCTGAGCCTCCACGGCGTCGAGATCGGAACCACAATCGACGGGGTCACGCTCGACGACCCGGCCCTGCATCCCTTCTGGGCGGCCTGCGAGGAGCTGAACATGCCGGTCTTCGTGCACCCGCTCGGCTACACCTGGCCGAAGGAGAATCCGCGGCGCTGGGCAAAGTACTGGAGCAGTTGGCTGATCGGGATGCCGTGCGAGACGGCGCTAGCACTACACCTGCTGATATGCTCCGGGACGCTTCTCAAATTTCCAAAGCTGAGGCTGTGTTTCGCGCATGCGGGAGGGTCGTTCCCCACGTTACTTGGACGGATCCAGCATGGGTATGACTGTCGGCCTGATCTGGTGGCGGGGGATGCGGGTGGTGTCACTCCCACCGAGCATGCGACTGTGCGTGAGAATATCTGGATCGATAGTTTGACGCATGATGTTGAGTTGCTCGAGTATCTGGTTAAGAAGGTGGGGGCGCACAGGATGATCATGGGGAGTGACTATCCGTTTCCGCTTGGGGAGGTGCCTGAGGCTGGGAAGATGATTGCGAAGGATGGACGGTTAGAACAGTTTTTGTCCTGGAGGCAGCGGGCTGAAATCCTCGCAGGGAACGCTCTGAGGTTTCTGAATTTGGATAAGGATGAGAAGTGGAAGGGTTTGATGGAGGAGCGGTGGAGGATGTTTGAGAAGGTATATATCAAGTAATGTTTGCATCTACATGATTGACTTTCTTACTGCAAATGAACACACAGATTGTCTACTCTTTGTCTTTCTCCGTTTAGTCGGTGGTTCTTCCTCTTTCTCGATATCTGCATCCTTTGGACTCCCAGTCGGCGACAGATGGAACAATTCATTCATCCACGTCGTATCTGGCATGGACGGAAATGGACCACCCCCTAGAACGGTTTGCTCCAACTCTGTCCAGGGGTCAAATTGCGCTGCCCCTGAAGCTGTTTCAACCTTTCCGTTATCAAACATGCACCGTCCTCTATGGCCGCTTTCAATCACCTCTCGAGTCACGGCATGATACTCCTCTGCGATAGCGTGGTACTGACGCGCAAGAGGCCAATCTCCTTGCATTTTTAGTAAGAGATTGAGGCCGTCTTGGATATCGGTAGGCGGGTGGATGCTCTGGTCCTGCCGAACACAATGTAGCAGCGTCAAGATGCTGACGAACAGATTCTGTCCATGTAATGCAAAGTAATGGCACGCTGGAACAAGACGACAGAATTTCTGGCTGAGCTGGATGCACTCCATTGCGGCATTGATGCTCTCACTGACTGCGAGAGAAGCGTCCCATCGTGAGGAACGATGCGGAGCGGGCACGAATGGTCGGAACAGTAGGGGCACCGCAGAGAAGTAAGTTGACAGTAGGACATATCGCTCAATCTCTCTTGATTCATCCGTTTTCCCTGGACTCGGCGCAGGAATCATGCTTTCTCTCCACTGCCGAAGATCGACCCATAGCTTCTCCAATTCGCACTGGAGACCAGCATGATTAGCCGCGTCATGCCATTTGTGCGGAGTGTCGATCGAGTTGACAGCATAGTGTATGCGTCCAATCAGTCGACAGAGATGGGTCATAGCGACGAAGCCGGGCGCTTTGGGACGGGGAGACGGGAAGAAGACGTCCGAGTCGCTGTCGTGGATGGCGAGCGGACGTCCCAGATGTAGGGCAAGCAGTCGATCCAGGACGTACAGGCACCACCACAGCTGACATCGTCGCTTGACGTCAATCAATGGCAGGCCCATTCGTTTGGGTGAGCGCTGGAACGTCAGTAAGAATTGTTATTGCCAGATGGGATGAAAACATACATGTAGTCCCATTTCATACCCCAATCGGACCGCACGACCGATGATTCGCCACGCTTCTCCCAGTCTTCCCAGCTGCGTCAGATACATTCCCAGAAGCGTCAGCGCAGTGACGGTGTTGATGTTGTTGCCTGAGATAAAGAGAAGGGATGATGACCCTTGAATGGCTGCAAGAGCCATACCATAAAAGTGTCCCCCTAGATCCAGTCCCTTGTACCCCTCGCGAGCCCACACATGATCATTCTCGGTAATATGCGCGGACGAAACAGTCATAATTGAGTACAACAACCCCAGGAAGTCCGGTTGAGGGACATGGTTCGCCAAGAGCATCAAATACTGCCGCTGGAAGTCCTCTGCTTCAATAATGGGAAAGAGTCGATAAACCTTTCGGAAGAATGTGTCGATCAATGTATCCATGAGCGGCACAGGAGGCAATCTGCTTGGACTTGACGACACTTCAGGCAACGGATTCATGCTGAGAAGAGACTCTACCGATGCATGGCCTTTTCGCATGAGTCCTTCCCGGATCCGACTGCGTAGTCCGGGGCATTCATTAATTATGGCTACTGTTGCGCCGAGGCCGGTATACCTGACATTTGGTCAGTGATTTCCAATCTAAGACTTGATATCCATACCTTGCTCCGTCTGTTTCGTCTGTGACCAAGACGCCGTTTTCATCCCAGTACATGCGCTCAGCCTCTCCTGTCTCCTGCGTTGACTCCATGACATTCTCTCCGGAAAGACAGAGGGCGGGATCAACGACTTGATCCAGACTAGAGATCACAGGATTCTCAGCCTCGACTTGCTCTTCGGACACACTCCCAACTAAGGAAGTCGTCGACTCCGACATCAAATTGACAGAAACAGGTACTTGATGCTGATCTTCGTTCAGCGGCCGTCCACCACCCGTAATCTGTGACGCAAGTCTCTGCTGCTCATCCATGAGCGCGGCCACCAGATCCTCCAACGCCTGAATCCGTTTGCCATATACTTCCACAACCCTACATCGTCAGCTTTGCTCGTACCACAAAGGTGGACGGAGGACTTACTGCGAATCCACAAACCCCCTCCGTGATCCCTCAACCGCATACACACACTCATTCCCCGTATCCAGGCAGCATTGGCACGGATCTCCCGCGTCACATTTGATCTTCTTCTTGCGGCAGGACTCGCAGGCGCGCCAGACTCGGCGACGGTTTTGTGGAGGTCGGTCTAGATTGGGAATTGACAACGGGCGATGGCTGTGGCTGTGTGCATGAGCGTGGGTGCGTCTTCGGTGGGAAATCGAGGAGGCATGGGTCTGTTGAAAGGAGACAAGGACATGAGCTGCGTCGTGGGATGGAGTTGGTCGTCGGGGGTGAGACGGGTAGGATTCTCGAACCATGACGCTGGTGGTGTCCATGTAATTGAGTGATGCTGAGAAGATCGCAGTATTGATTTTGTCAATATCACTCACTGTCAAGACAGTAGGAGATGCCTAACCGAGGCTCCGGATAGCATCCGGGTCCGTCGGATAACATCCGGTTGTCATCGTTCATTGTGCCAGTTCTGGTCTCTTCATTGCTTGGATAGGTACCCATCTGCCGGAAACCTCTGCACATTGTGCAACGAACACTTCGGTTCTGTTTTTGAAAGCTGTAATGAAGATCTGTGTACTCTGTCCTGCCATGTTAGGCAGACTGCTAGTGTCACGTGCTCTCTCTGTAGACATGTGTGTCTCTCGCTCTCTATCTCTATCTCTTCTCTCGCATTCCTCGATTGCGAAATCCATGCTCTCATTCTCGATCTCTTTCCGCACATGGTGTTATCAATACAAAATTCCAATTATCGGCTAGAGTGGCGCTAATTCAAACGCTCTTGTCCGAGACATGGCAGTGGCCAGTCGCCGATCACGCTGCCATCAGCGCGTCCACTAACCACTGACATTGCTTTTCAGCCTTGTCTCAATGATACTCAATTAACGACAAGGCTGAAAGATGCACACATTGCAAATTCTGATTTGCTGCTGTATATGTGAGTGGAGAACAGTAACAAGGAGACTACCCTCGGCCTTGATACACGATCTGACTATCTCAATGCTATCCTTAGCAGTATCCCAATTCGAAAGCCTTGCTAAACTCCACCATGATTTCAAAAGCTTTCAATTTATACTGCTTCCTTGAGTGTCCGTGTCCGGCGAAATGACTATTTCCAAGTACTCCAATGATGAGTACAAGGTCGGCTGGATATGTGCGCTCCCAATCGAACTTGTCGCCGCGAAAGCGATGCTTGACGAAGAACACGGCAATCCGCAGACTCCCCTCGGACGGAATGATCACAACACTTATTTGCTAGGTTCCATCGGCAATCACAAAGTGGTTGTCGCTTGTCTTCCCAGAGATGAATATGGCGCCATGTCTGCGGCCGCAGTGGCAAAGGACATGATGCACGCCTTTCCACAGATCCGCTTTGGAGTCATGGTCGGGATTGGTGCTGGAATACCGGACTATGAGAGTGATGAGGTTCGAGATATAAGACTTGGTGATGTCGTGGTTGGGAGCGATAATGAGCATAGTGGTGTGGTGCTCTACGATTTCGGCAAGAAGCTGCCTGATGGCTCATTCAAAGCAATGTATGCCGTGGATAGACCGCCTCGATGCCTGCGAACTGCATTGAGCCGGTTGGAGGCAGAGCATATGCTGCAAGGCAGTCAGATCAGCGTCTTTGTTGATCGGATGTTGGATAGATATCCGGCTCTGCGAGACTCAGGTTGGAGTCGACCAGATTCATCGAAGGACCGGCTTTTCAATTCGGATTACTCTCATGTTTCGGGACGGACTTGCAAAAAATGTGATGCTTCCCAAGAGATTGATCGTGATGACTGGGAACGTTCCAGTGCCAAACCAGTAATCCACTACGGCGTCATTGCGACGGGTACCGAGGTTATTAGGCATACCCCATCGCGAGATGAGATTAGAGAAAGGCACAGAGCCATCTGCTTGGAGATGGAAGCAGCGGGTTTGATGAATCATTTCCCGTGCCTTGTAATCCGAGGCATCTCCGATTACGCTGACTCCCATAAGAACGATGTCTGGAGAAAATATGCCGCTGCTACGGCGGCTGCGTTTGCAAAGGAGCTGCTAGGATTTGTGGCCGTCACTGAAGTGGATAGTGAGCGCAGTGCAAGGGATATACTGGATGAAGGTCAGTACTCAGCGGAATATGAAAACACAGTTATTGTAAGGGTTAACAGCATTTGCAGTTCAGAAAGATATCTCAACAGTCAAAGAAAATGTATCCGAACTCCGAACCTTAGCGATGCAGGGTAAACATGCCCGTCTTCTAGACTGGTTGTCTCCGAATGATTTCAGTTCCCAGCAGCATGATATAATCAGCAGAAGGAAGGTCGGTACAGGGCTTTGGTTTCTGGAGTCCGATGAATTCCAGGGATGGCTGGAGCAAAGAGGACAGACGATGTTCTGCCCTGGCATTCCAGGGGCCGGAAAGACAGTCATGGCTGCTATTATCGTGGACCATTTACAGACTAAGTTCCAGCATGATCCTCAAGTCCACGTCGGTTATCTTTTCTGCAGTTACCAGCCGCAATATGGACAAAAGGTCGAGGATATGTTACGAAGCCTCTTGAGACAATCAGTCTCGCACCGAGCAGAAATGCCACCTCATATCCAAGACCTATATGACCGCCATAACTCAGAGAAGAAGCGCACACAGCCCTTCCTGGACGAGACTTTAACAGAGTTGCGTCGCACGGCTCAATTGTACAATAGATTTTTCATCATCATTGACGCATTGGACGAACACTATGCATCTGATTATGAAAGCCACCAGCGATTATTGAAGGAGATGTCCGTTCTTCAGAGGCATGCTTCAGTTAGTCTATTGATCACCTCGCGATTTAACTCGGATATCATGTCTCATTTCAGGCATACCAGGCATACCAGGCAAAAGGAGATTAGCGCGCAGGATGACGATCTTCTTCTCTACATCAATGAGAAAATACCCTTGTTGAAATCCAAAGTAGTTGGCAATGAAGACATTCAGCAGGAGATCAGGAAGGGCGTTATTAAAGCAGCCGACGGGATGTTTCTCTTGGCCCGACTCCATATGGAACATTTGATGGACAAGCCCTCGATTGGGCTTCTCAAAAAGGCTCTCCAAACCTTGCCTCAGGGTAGAAAAGGCTTGACCGAAACGTACCAGCAGGCAATCATGAGAATCAATCGGCAGTCGGAAGATTTGCAGACAATAGCCTGGCAGGCTTTGTCCTGGATCGCATATAGCAAAAGAGCAATCTTGTCCGAGGAACTGCGACATGCTCTGGCAACTCATCCAAGCATGATAGATTTCGACCAAGACTATTTACTGGACACCGGATTGATCACATCATCCTGCGCTGGGTTAATTGTCAAGGACACAGAAACAGACATTGTACGGCTTGTCCACTACACAACTCAGGATTTTCTCCTTTCACAGCAGATTCTCCCAAATGCCGAGCAGTATATTGCAAACATCTGCATTACCTACCTTTCTTTCGAGCCGTTTGCAGGGGGACCTTGCTCTACAGAAAGTGCATACAGAGGGCGACTGAATCGATACCCCTTGTATGAATATAGCGCGAGGTATTGGGGCTCTCATGCTGCCAATGCTCCCCAAGTTACAGTTCAGGTTGCAGCACTCGAGTTCCTCAAGAATCGTGGCAATGTCTTGGCAGCTCATCAAGTCCTGTTGCACAAGAGGACACAATCATCTTACGAATTTATATTCGAGCTTAGGTCGTCTGAAACTCAAATGAGAGATCGACCGACAACGAGCCTCCACATTGCAGCACACTTCGGCCTCACGGATCTGCTTCGGTTATTGATAGACGGTGGAGCCGAAGTGGATGCGAGTGATGAGAGGGGAGTGACTCCTCTCCTATCTGCAGTGAAAGCAGGGCACGTGAACGCTACCGTATTCCTCATAACTGAATCCGGCGCAAATCCGAATTTAAAGGACGTCGCGGGGGGCACAGCAATGGCTTATGCGGCCATGTATGGCTATGAAGCAATCGTGAGGTTTCTTCTCGATTGGGGCGTTGAGCCAGAGTCTCAGTTCGAGAAGAACTATGTTTGCAACCCACTTCATCCAGCAGCGGCGAATGGCCATGTATCCGTGATGAAGTTGCTGCTTGATGAAGGTGCTACGATTGATGGGCTCGATTCTACGAAGTCAACGCCACTACGGCTGGCTGTACAGCACGGACATGAGAGCGCAGTAAAATTGCTTCTGGACCGGGGATCTGACCTGAAGCTGGCAAATAATCGCCCAGACCCACTTGTATGCGTTGCAGCTCATAATGGGCATGAAGCCATCGTGAGATTACTACTGAGTCGGGGGGATGACCCAGTCGCGAGGAATTGGTATGGAAGGACGCCGCTTCTGGCTGCAATGGCGAGGGGCCACGAGGGAACAATCTCCCTTCTTCTCACTGTACAATTTGACGTCAATGCTCACGACAGGGATTGCCGTACAGCGTTGACTTACGCCGTAGAGAAGGGCAATGTAAGTCGTGCTAGGTTCTTGATTGAAAAAGGCGCCAAACTCGATATCAAGGTCATCTACTTCCCAATGAACGAGAGGAAGTTGACCCTGTATAAGATGGAGATGACCGCCCTGGCACTTGCCGCAGATCAGGGAAACGAGATCCTTTCTCGGCTGCTACTCGAGAATGGAGCAGATCCCAATTTGAAATGCCGGCTCATGACCGAGACCCCACTGGGGATTGCCGCATACCGGGGGTATGCGGGAGTTGTGAAATTGCTCCTCCAATACGGTGCTGATGTGAACCTACAAGATGATGCCAGGGAAAATGCATTGTTCTCTGCGGCGAAAAGAGGACACGACGAGATCATTTCTCTATTGCTCAAGGCCGGAGCTGATCCAAGAAGGAAGAACATAGTGGGGAATACGCCACTATTTTATGCAGTCGAGAGCCCCAATGAGACAGCTATCAACATCTTGCTCGCACATGGGAATGATGTAGATGAACGAAACGAATTCATGGAGACGCCGCTGTTCTTCGCAACCAGACAAGGTCATCCTGCCGTCGTGAAGCTACTTCTGGAGAAGGGCGCAGACCCATATCCCAAGAGCATGCTTTCGAGGACCCCGTTGCTTCAGGCCGCAAGTTCTTTCAGTGAGAAAAATCCAGACATGGACTTACTAGGGATCATGAGGGTCATGTCGGCCTTGCCCTATTCGGGCGAGAAAGACCCAAGCAAAGAATTGATTTGGTACATAACAGCTCTCCTGGAACACAAAGTGATCCTAATCCAATATGTGACCCTCAGTCTCCTCCAGAAGTGCGACATGTTTCTTATGCTACCCATCTTGGTCCCAAAAAGCTTAAGGGTGTTGTGGGGCTTGCAGCCCGAATAGAGCAAGCTCATAAACTCTGGCGTACTCACATGGCAAACTTATCAGACGACCGAATTCATATCTTTACACAACATCTCGGCGAGGCAAATGATGCACGTGTAGCTTGGAGAGAGACAATTGAAACCCCGCTGATCTGGGCTGCAAGTGCAGGCTTTACAGAAAAAGTAGACTTCCTTATCAAGCATTTGCTCGGCTCTAAATCCGCTCATTTGCTGGTTCTGCAAAGACGCTGAAGCGCGCTGTCTGGGCGTAACACACGAGGTTATCAAAAACACCGTAATCCGAGGAGACAGATCTGAAGGTATTTCTCTGGCTTGCTGAAGAGTAACTGTCACGGAAGAGGAGAGGACAGAGAAGTCGAAAGAGGACCGGCAAGCGCACAATGGCTCATCTTAGGCAGCGTCATCTCCTCTCCAAGGTTCTAGTCATTTTGAATCTCGAAATCACTGGCTACGACTTGATCTCTTGCCAGTTCACTTCATCTATCTGTGTCCTCATTGGACCCGAGTGGAAAGTAATGTCAAACTGGAGCTATCGACACTCTGATATCCCTCCTACCTACTGTATAGGGTTCTAGAAGCATGTGAGCTACTGGTAAGTTTACAAAGAACAAGCATAACCTTGACCACAATTGACGATCCCAGCATTGTGGAATAATGACAAATCATATCTGCGGATCCAACTCTCCACTTATTGCCTGACTGTTACCTCGGCGAACTCATTGTGACTCACGGACAGCTAACGGTATACTTATCATCCGCTTGATACCATCTCCTACTGCGAAAGACAATTAACAACATGTCTCACCTTGTCACAATCATTTCCCGTTCATATCCATGGATGAAGACTCCGTTTATCGTCAGTGCCCCGATGCGGGTAATGTCCGGCCCCGCACTGGCGGTTGCTGTCTCCCGCGCTGGCGGGCTGGGATTCATCGGGCCGGGCGTGAAGACTCAAGATATCTGTGCTGATCTCGAGGAAACATCGACCTTGATAAAAACGCTCTCTACTTCCCAAACTCAACCTTCTGCACTGCAAAGTCAACCCATTCTCCCGGTAGGCGTCGGCTTCCAACTCTGGAGCGACGACGTTGAAGTCGCCGTCTCCGCTATAAGCAAATACAAGCCCTGCGCAGCCTGGCTCTTCGCTCCGCGGAACGGACAGAAAGACCTGGATACCTGGTCCCGCCGGATCCGCGATGCGTCTCCATTCACTCGCATATGGATCCAGATCGGCACGCTGGCTGAAGCAAGGGAGCTGGTACAGGGCACCGAAGAACCAGATGTGATTGTAGTGCAAGGAGCAGAGGCAGGCGGGCACGGCAGGGCAAACGACGGTCTCGGAATCATGGCATTGCTTCCGGAGATGATGGACTGTCTTCCACCGCACATCCCTGTGTTCGCAGCTGGGGGAATAGCTGACGGGCGTGGCGCAGCAGCGGCACTCTGCCTTGGGGCTACCGGAGTCGTGATGGGGACGCGGTTCCTTGCTGCTACAGAGACACGAATTAGTCCTGGTTACCAGCGGGAAGTCGTGCGTGCAAGCGATGGGGCCGTCTCGACAACACGGACGTTGCTGCATAACCAGCTTCGGGGCACGGTGGGCTGGCCAGAGCAGTACAGTCCTCGCACGATCCTCAATCAGTCATTCATCGAGCATCAGGCGGGTCGGCCATTCGATGAGCTGAAGCAGCTTCATGATCAAGCTCTCAAGGCGGGAGATGCTGGGTGGGGACCGGAGGGAAGGCTGGCGACGTATGCTGGTGCTGCGATTGGGCTGATCCATGATGTAAAAGATGCTGAGAGGATTGTCCAGAATGTCCAAACGGAAGTCCTACGGAGGCTTTCAATTGTGCAGAAGGCCAATTCGGCCCAGTGAGGAATGGAATGACCGCGGGCCTCAAGCTTGTCTCCCGGGAGGTAGTGCTGCTTCTGTGATTCGACCAATACTTACTATCATGTTCGGTATATGTCATTAAAGATAGTGGCTCTATTGTCAGAGGTAGAGCAAGATATGGTCTCGCATTCAAGCATAGGCAACCTTCGTAATCCAATGTGTCATATTGAATCTAATGTGTGTGCTTCCTACAGCACCAGTGGTCATAAGCAAAGACCCCTGTGCATAGACTTCTTGGATCGGCAGGGACTATCATGGACGGTAATTCCGGACCTCCTCTGTTCTCTCCTCTTTCCAATCCTGGCACTCATGCATGGTAATAAGGGCTCCTTGCTAACTATCTTTCAGTTGGCAGACCTACCGGGAACCTCGTCGGCTGATATACAGGGTAGATTTCTCCGTCTAGGCCTGCACCACCTGGCATCGTAAGTTCTCGGATTATCACACCGTATCAGCAAGGTTGTTGTCCCGCTGTAGCTGTTCGATCCTCGTCTCGCCTTTTCTTTTTTCGTACTGCTCCCACCAGTCCCGATTACTACGTTGAGGAAGGAGAGCCCAAGCCACGAGGCTGTCTTCCTCAGCAGAAGTCAACTGTAAGCGGATATACGCCAGGGATCTGCGGTCTTCTTCATCCCCGGAGTCACGCTGTTTAATCTCCCGATCCTATATGCCACGGATCAGAGCCAGCCTCGTACGCCGTGAGGATAGAGCTCATCAAAAGCGCCACAACCGCGATGATCTGGTTGGCTAGACTCGACATCCCCAAAGTGACCACATGACATCCAAACCCAGCCCATCCCATGATTCTAGCACACTGGTAAAGTCGCCCATGAGGGGGACTTGGATTTGTCAAGAGCACGTCAGTAATGATACCGCGAGGGGCGTATATTGTAACAGCGGCACCAGAAGGGGTCAGAACCAGTGCTTTGCACGGCCTTTCTGCACTTTTCCTTCCCTGGAGGCCTTGGATCACTCGATCAATACCAGCCCGGGCTTCACGAGTCATGATCTGGCGAGTGACCACTGAGACGAACATTGAAACAGCGTTTGCGAACGCCCACCAATCGTTTGACAGCAATGCTATGGTCGTCATGGCTCCTATTGTAACAGTGCCGATGCCTAGGCCCCTCAAAGCCAATAGTCTGGACCAAAAACTCACAATTGGCTTTTTGTCCACGGAGGTGAAATGCAAGGATGTCGAATTCCAGGAAATTTGCTGGCTGAGAAGCCAACGACAGAACCAACCCGCGACATCGATCGCCATGATCCCGTCGCTAACATTATATAGAACAAACCCGGGTTTGGGAGCCATGATGTTATTGTTCGCAACAACATAAGCGCCAAGAAGGGGCAGGTATTCTGTGAAACGATATTTGATTAGGCTTCCCAGGGCCAAGTTCATTTCTTCGGCGCCAAGGAGAGTGACGATCCCCAGTGCGTCGATTTTGAAAGGCTGCCAGTCACGGAGATATTGAAGCAGCATGGTTGTATGGTCGTGATGTATCGGCGACCAGATGCAGGAGAGATGAGATGAAGATCTGG